TTCTGCTCGCTTTCGCCCGCTTTCCGCATTTGATAATCAAAATCAAGTCGACGCCGGCGCCAACGCCAACGCCAACGCCAGCACCAGCGTCAGCTTCGACTCTGGCTCTGATGATGGCCAAGTTCAGTGCCCTCGAATTGTGTTGACGCTTTCCGATCGCTGTTCGCTGCTGATGTTTGCATCGAAATTGGGTTAAGCGTGCCCAGGTACACACAAAGAACACGCTGCGAATCGATTGTTGCATGATTCGCGTGCCCAGTGGCTAAGGTAATCTCTGTGGAGATTGCTTAATCCGTGGGTCTGCCGATTGCCACAGCGTCAACAGTGTGAACATGAAAACGCAATTAGCCCACGTCGAAGCCAGAAAATCAAATGGCCAACACGTAGGCCATATGAAAACCTGTTAACGTTTCAATGACTTTGAACTTTTTTTGGGCTTTTGGTTTTTCTTCTGTTTGCCGCCGCCTGCATTTGCATATCGATTGTTGTTTGCTTGACCCATTTACCGTGGAGCACTTGGAGTGGAGCCGTGGAGCTCTGCTGGCGCTGCTTGAAGCCCACGCCACTTCCACTTTCGTTGGAGCGCGACTTTCTTCAACAATTGCCCATCGATTGTTAGTTTTGGCCCTCAAGCTGGGCTCCAATGGATTTGGATTTGTCAGAGCTTGTCGTAGCTGGCGCTGCTGCTGCTGCTGCTGCTGCCTCTGTCGCTGCCGCTGCTGGTGCTGCTCTGTAACCAGTTTGATGAAGTCGACGTCGGCGTCGACGTCTATTCTGAACGCAACTGATTCTCGGTTGGCTGTTTATAAAAAGTCTTTGGCCAACTTTCTTGAGCTTCATTCGCGGCTCAGGCGCGATCGTCAACGTCTCGTACAGAATGAAAGCAGTGCTCCACCTTTTGTCGCTGCTGGCTGGTGCCAGCATTGTGTATTCCCTGCCATCTCTCGGAGCTAGGGAGAATGGTCTGCCCAGCTCGTTTGCCAGCGAGGCTTCGCAGCTGATTGCCACGCAGCTGCTCAAGTACAACAAAGACATCGACGCCAACCAGGTGTATTCCCCACTAGGAATAGCCACCATTCTGGCCACGTTAGCAGAGGGTGCCGATGACGAGACCTACGCGGAGTTTGGCCAAGTCTTTGGCTTCCCGCAGGAGCGACAGCAGCTGAGAGCCGCCTTTGAGCAGGCCTTGGCCGTCTTCCAGAAGCGAGACACAGTCGATGCGCTGCCCTCGTTCCAGACCTGGTTCTATGTCTATCGCAACAACAGCGTGCGCGAGGACTACAAGCAGCTGCTGCGGCGTCACTACTACGCCGAGGTGAAGGACATCAATAGGGAGGAGTCCGACTGGCAGGAGGCGAGCAGCTTGGCGCTGGAGGGCAGCGGCACGGACGGAGGTAGCACAGAGCCCAGCAACAGCAAGGATGTGATCGGCTTCGAGACTCTGAAGCGCATTAACCTGGACGACGATGCTCCCATCGGCATCAGCGAGGACAGCTACGGCGAGGAGGTGGTCAACAAGGAGGCCTCCAAGTTCGATCGTGAGCTGGATGACAAGCAGTATGTGGAAAAACCAGTTGCCTTGGCCGAGGCTGCGCAGCTGCAGAGTGAGCGGGAGCAGCTGACCACCGAGCAGACGGCAACGGATGCCGACAGCAGCAGCAGCAGCAGCAGCACCGATGCACCAGTGGAAAAACTAGAAAAACCAGCCGAGATCGCCCTGACCGTTAAGGAAAATGTTGCCGAGAAGCAGCAGAACAAGCGCAGCGATGCCAATGCCGAACAGAATCCAAATGTGGAGGAGAACGAGACGGTGCAGGAGGATGAAAAGCTGCGCAAGCTGCTGCCCAGCGAGCAGAGCAGTGCTGCCAACCAGGTGACCGGCAGTGAACCCGAGAAGGTGCGCCTGCCCCTGCAGAAACTGGAAAATGCCGTCAAGTCAATGGTCAAGGAGGGCGCCGACGAGATTATGATTGCACTCGAGTCGCATCTCAGCTCAGTGGCTCGGGTATGTCTCAGCTGCAAATATGCTCAGGTGACTTTTCTCTTAGCTAACTTTGCTCCTCTTTCGTCTCCTGCCAGGTCTACGGGGGTCGCAGTCTGTTCCGCAAGGATGACATTGCCTGCGCTCTGAGCGCCAACGCCATCACGGGTCGGGCCAACGATGCCAAGACCAAGATGCTGCTCTTCAACGGACTCTACTTCCACGGCAGCTGGCGTCAGCCCTTCTACCAACTGCGCGACGGCAGCGACGAGTTCTTCTTCATGACGAACGAGGACGCCATGAAGACGCCCATGATGCACTCCCGCGGCAAGTTCAACGTCTCCGACTTGCCCCACCTGAAGGCGCGCCTGCTCTCGCTGCCCTACGAGAACGACCAGTACAGCCTCTGCATCGTGCTGCCCAACGAGCCCGAGGGCCTCAGCGAGGTGATCGCCCAGCTGCAGCCCAGCGACTACAAGTACGCGCGGGAGCACATCCAGCTCAAGGAGCTGCACGTGACGCTGCCCAAGTTCCAGGTCATGGAGACCTCGCGCTCCGAGGCAATGCTCAAGCAGATGGGCCTGAAGCGCCTCTTCTCCCGCACCGAGACACAGCTCAACCTGATGTCCGAGGACGAGGATCTGCACATCGACGAGATCGTGCAGTTCGTGAGCGTGCGCGTCGACGAGGATGGCAGCAGCACCAATTCCCTCTCCGCGGCCAACATCCAGGCCCGCTCGCCGATTGCCGCCGAGGCAGCCGCTGTGCTGCCAGTGCCAGAGCCGGAGCCAGAGCCCGGCGTAGAGCGCTTCGATGTGAATCGTCCGTTCGCCTACTTCATCGTGGACTGCAGGAATCAGGTGGTGCTTGCCTCTGGCAAGGTGTACGCGCCCGAGTCCGTGGATGAGCTGCCGCCCGTGTCCATTGAGGTCGAGCTGGAGCAGTCGTAGATCTTCCCACATCAATCAATCGCCTAGCTCTTAAGTTTTCGTAACGAATTTTCACCGATTTCCATAGCTCTAAGTGCTCACACGCAATAAACAAGAATTTCATATTCTACAAAAAACAAAACAGAAAAAAAGCAAAGCAAAATAAAATATCCTGCGCGATGCCGCGTCTGATTTTTCCCAGCCACTTGAGCAGATGCAGCCTAGCGGACTCGGCGTCCATTTGCTGCGCAATCAAAACAACAATTAATTCGCTTACTCGCTGACTAACAACAACAACAACAACAGCAACAATAATAAGCAACTGGCAGCGAGATCAACCCTCAGGATTCAATTGTCTGTCTGTAATATGAAATGTATCTGGCGGTGGGCATCGCTAATTTCCGTGCAGCAAATTTGTCATTGCAATTGCCTCGAGACTGAGAATCGTGAATCGAGAACTGTGAGTGGGCAGGGGCTCGGGGGTTGCTTGATGTGCCGTGTGCCAAGCGCCGTGTGCGTCTGCTTTGTTGACTTTACTCCGAGTTCCATCAATTCTCAGGCTACTCAAGCGAAAGCGGCGCATCCGACACGTGCCCCTGCCTGGCTGGCTGTCAGCCCTGGCGAATCGGACAGCCCTTCCCTTCAAGTGGTCAATGGGCAGCAATTAAAAGTCTCATTAGAATGCATGATGTCTTCTTTTTGCCAACAGCCCGCCAAGGTGGCCAGCCAGGTTCTAGTTCCGCACGCGCAGCACTCGCAGCACTCGCAGCACAAGGCGAAACACAGCACTGAAAGTGGATGTCTGTGAGGCAAAGACGCAGACACGATTGCGAATGCTGGCTGGCGCCAGGCTGTCGGGCGCCAAGAGCCAGAGGTAAAAACAGGAGTAAATGCGTGCCATGATTATAGTGATGACGACTTCCAGCCACCCCAGCCACCTCGGCCACTCCAGCCTCCTGCTCGGCCCAACTATGCCTGGAGACGCAGACCAACTCCTGCTGGCCCCCTGGCCTCCCGGCTAGCTGCCAGCCGAGCAGACGATGATGTTTCATCTTTTCCACATGAAAACTCACGTAACAAAAATTATGATAATCATAACTTTTTTCCTTCTCTTCTCTGTGGACTTTTTTCGTTTGCCTCTTTGTTTTGCTAGCCACTGGACAAAGGAGTCGCTGGCGTTGGCCAAGGTATTTGTGGGCCAGGCTGGCGTCTGGCGTTCGCTCTATTTTTATTAAGTCTTGCATATAAATCAATGCTGCCAGATATGCAGAGTAGCCCCGAAAGGTATCCAAGATTTATAAGGGCTGCTTTCCCTTTGGCCACATTTTTCTTCTTCTTTTTTTTTTTTTTGTATTTGTCGTCAACTCGTTTAAACATTGCACAACATAATTCGCATGAATAACAAGTGAGTATCTGTTGTTTTTTCTAGAGATGTGCAGCTTTACAGGACTCGGACACTCTTAGCTCAAACGGTTTTAATGAATAAAAGAAGAGCAAAGTTCTTTGGCATACCCCTGCCTCCGCCTGACAAATAAATAAGCCGAGACGCAATAAATTCATCCAATTGCATCAGAGGCAAACATTTACTTGATGGCAATTTCAACAAAGCGTCACGCAACGTCTTCAAGATTTATTTGGCTGTTTCAAGTCCCATTACAAGTCAAGTTCGACGAATTAAAAATGCGCCCGGCTGCAGGCAACAAGTGTGGGAAATCTGTGGAATTTCCAACAGGGCCAGCTGTTTTCCGAGAAGAACTAAACCGAAACAAGACGAATTTTCCAGCGCCGCTTCACGCTGACATTTGCGGCGTGAAAATCTAATGAGCATATGTGGGCGCCAACTGACAAAGGGGAGCTGCTGCAGCTCCACTGGAGTGAGTGAGTGGTTGGATGGGTGGGTGAGCGGGTGTCAGAAAATAGACCACGTCTCTGTATAACAGTGTAAGACAATTTTCAATTTTATTTCCTCTAAGTGCTAGACTATTTATGATTAGATACATATTGATTTGGTATTATTTCTCATCTATTGTAGGCCGATCCCCCGATAGATGGATAGATGTGACAGGGCTCCAAATGAATTCAGATTTGTACTATTGTAGTTTACACTGCTGGCTAGAAATCTACAAAAGCCTCTTCGTGCTTGACGGTCTTTGACTTTGGCTTCTGTTTGCCTTCGCTGTGCTTGTCGAAATTGGAAATATCCTCGGCATTCGAAATTGTGGGCGTGTATGGGGGCTGAATGGTCTGATTGAGCAGCGGTATCCACTCCACTTCCTTGAACCACTCATGATTCTTAATGTCCTTGTTGCCCCCAATTAGATTGCCAAATCTGCAAATACAAAAACAATTAGATTTAAGATGATAGAGCAGAGTTGACCTGCCTTTTCGAGAGATCCACTTGCAGTAAATGATCCACCAGATGACGCAAAGGGCCCGAGAAGGCACTGGGCATTTTGTAGTCCCCCTCGCAGATCTTGTTGTACATGACCATGACGTCGCGACTATGGGTGGCGAAGGGCGAATGGCCGGCAACAAACTCGTAGATGAGCACACCAAAGGCCCACCAATCCACGCTGGTTCCATACGGCTTTGACTGTATTATCTCCGGTGGCAGATACTCCGGCGTGCCACACAGGGTCATTGTGCGCGTCTCCACTTTCTGCAGGAGAAGGGAACGAATTTACAATCCAAGTCGCCTTTACCAGAGCACACTTACTTTCGCAAAACCAAAATCAGTGACCTTCAGATAGCCATTCTTATCGAGCATTATATTTTCGGGCTTTAGATCACGATACAAAAGGCTGCAATAGTGGAGATATTCCAGGGCGAGAAACACCTGCGCCGCATAGAAGCGAGCCTGTTTTTCGCTGAACTTGCGGACTCTGCAATGGGAATCCGTTGAAATAGATAGTTACGATATAAGATATATAGATGCCGACTCACTTGCGATGATAGGTGAAGAGTTCGCCACCCATTATAAGCGGCAGGACGAGGTAGAGGCTGTCGTTGTCCTTGAAAGAAGATACCAGATTGACGGTGAATGGAAAGCACATTGAGTTGAGCACTTTCTTTTCGCTCATGACATGCGAGACCTGCTTGGTTTTGATAATTTGATCCTTGCTCAGCTGCTTCGAGGCGTAATAGTTGTCGCCCTCCTTCTCTTTGATCAGCTGCACCTTGCCGAACGAGCCAGCACCCAGGGTCGCCTTGATGATGAAGTTGTCGAGACCGCACGACGGCGATGGGGTATTGCGAACGAACTTCTTGTTGAACTCGTCCTTCAGCTTATCCAGTATGACACCATAGTCAACCTTCGGACTAAAGTATTGCGCATCCATAGTGGAAACGCGCCCATTAATTTAACTTACTTTTTAAATTTTTATTGGTTTTGGTTTTGTGTATAAAACTATTATAAAATGCTCTAAGAATTTCGACTAAAAATTACACACATTTTCAGGACAAACTAGTCAATCAAATAAATTACGTAATAATGAAAAACTACACAAGGACTACTTGTAGACCCTGATGATCTACATTCCGTTCAGATGAGCATAGCGTAGTTTCTTGGGGAGCTCCCATAGCTAGCTATCGCGGTTAACAGGTGAACAAAAGCCCAGCAGCGAAAACAAAACATATTGGAAGACCAACGTTTAAAAATTATTAAACAAGTCTGGGTGGCGATTTATTTTCGATTTCAATTTCGATTTGGACTCAAAATTTTCAAAGTTTGACAAATCTTCAATACTGTTAACGGTCGGTAGATAGGGTGGGCTAATATCTTGATTAAGGATTGCAATCCAATCGACGCCTTGAAACCATGCATGGTTTTTGATATCCGTAGAGCCATCGGTTGAGTTACCTAAACTAAAGAAGCATACTTGAAATGCGGCCCGTTAACTGGTTCCAGAGTGCTTACCGCTTTGAGGGCTCACTCTGCAACAAGTTCTCAATCAAGTTTTTCAGCTGGGCCGTAAAAAACGAAGGTATTCGATATTCGCCCAAGCAAATTTTCGAGTACATCAATATGACGTCACGATTGTGCATTGAAAACGGCGAATGGCCAGCTACAAACTCATAGATCAGTATACCAAACGCCCACCAGTCAACAGACTTTGAGTACGGCCGAAGTTGAATGATTTCCGGTGCCAAATATTCGGGTGTACCACAAAGTGTCGACGTCCTATTGTCCACACGCTAAGTAGATCAGTCTTCAACATAGATATTTGAGCTATGAAATCCGAAGTAATTGCGGTCTTACCTTGGTAAACCCGAAGTCTGTCACCTTAATATAGCCGCGAGCATCCATTAGGATATTCTCCGGCTTCAAGTCGCGGTACATGAGGTTCATGTGATGCAAGTACTCGAGAGCCAGAAGCACTTGGACCCCATAGAACCGCGATTGCTTCTCATTGAACTTTCGCACTCTTGGTGCATAGGGGAAGGACTGTGTCTATATAATTGCAGATCGTATAGAAGTTAAAGCTATAACTCACTTGCGATGGTAGGTGAACAGCTCGCCGCCATTGACGAACGGCAACACGAGATACAAATAGTCAAAGTCCTTGCTGGCATCGATCAAGTGCACTAGAAATGGGAATCGAACGGAGGAGAGTACGGTCTTCTCGTTGTGCACGTGATTGACTTGCTTCAGACGCACCAGATCGTCCTTGTTCATCATCTTAGCAGCATAATAATTTTTGCCTTTCTTTTCCTTAACCAACAGCTGCACTCGAACGGAGATATGTGTACATATATGTTTATATAAATTTGTATAGACTGACAGAGAGAGGGACGAGTAAATCACACAAATATTGAACGGGATAACTCACAACAGTGCCAAAACTGCCATTGCCAATGATTGCTCGCTGCACGTAACTCTCAAGGTTGGTATACGGCGATGGTTCCTGGGATTTCCAACGCTGCTCAAAGTCCACCTTAAGCTTATCGAGTGTGACGGTGTAGTCTTCCTTTGCATTAAAAAATTGGCGCAAGTTCTGGCTACTCATAATCAGCTCACTGGCCTCTTACTCATTTTCCACGATAAGGATGGACAACACTCGGGAGTAGGATATTTGATAATCAATAAACGAATAATTTGGGCATTCATAATTTGGTTTGATTTTGTGTTGTTTCAAATATTTGACAAACGAAAAAAACAGAAAAGGCAACACACACATACATATGTACATTCACTCTCGAAAACTATTTCAATTAGTTGGGCGTGCCGTCCAAATTAGGCCAAGGTATGACAAATAAGCTCCGACCCCCAGCCAGACAGACACCGTATGACCGCATGACCACATCAAATGCCAATTTCCTGTGCGTCGGCCACACATATCAACGTCACAGTCCCAGTCCCAGTCCCAATCCCAGTCAGAATCCCAATCGTAGTCGCAGTCGCAGTCACTGTCAACCTTAACGTTCACGTCACCGACTTCTTGATGCGGTCCGGCAAAAGTAAGAAAAATTGCAAAACGTCCAGTTGATAAATGATGCTAACCAAGATTACATAAGTTCGTAATTTTCTAGTACATTTATTTCTACATGTCAGCTAGTCAGCTCTTAGCTCTCAGCTCTCGGCTCTCCACTCTCAACTAGGAGCCTCTCTACACGTTTGCAGTTGGCATGCGATGATGGACACGTCGGCCATCCAGCTCTGCAGCTGAAGACAGATGCTGATAAGAGCGAACCGGATGTTCCGGTTGTTGCATGGCTTTTAAGGTAACTAGCGAACGACGACCCGTTATTGGCCATTTTGGGCATTTCGGCCATGTGTTGTGTGGCGTCTGCCCGTTGTTGGACGCAAATTGACAATTAATCATTATCTTTCAGCGTTTTAAGCCTTAACTCGAGTGGAGGACTGTGAGGGAGGCTTGGGGCTGGCAGGCAATTACCAAAAGGTTAGGCTTTGACTAGGCTCTTGGCTCTGGTGTGTGCCGAGGCATGTGCAAATGTCTTTCTAAATATGTTTGGGGTTGCTTCTAATGTGGTGACATTTGTATTCGAAAACTTCATTATTCATTGACAAAATCTCAAATTGAAAGACAATCACACTGTTGCACAGATACTTGATCGGTTCCTAGGCTGAGCAGTTTTTCACATAAGATAATAGATTTTGGTGGGATGTAGGGCCATGGATGGCTGTGCTTAATTAACGTTAGCTTTAATTTTGTTTATTATATTATATTTTATACATTAGGATCTGGCTATAACGACTCCGACAAACTTTCCGGATATCACGACAGTTACTTGAGCGTCATTATAATCGGACTCTACCGTATTACGTTATATATATTATTCATATCATTAACATTTGAAGCAAGTGCAAACTGTTGAACGAGTTCTGAGAGTCTTTTGAAGTTCTATTTAAGTTGATTTTTTTGATATTCCAATGACAGGTAATGCCTCAGTTTCTATATTCCACCATTGCTTGTTCATCATCTCAACAACACAACAAAGGCTGCTCAGAAACTCACAGCTCACTAGAGTATAGTTCCTTTCAGTCAGTTTAAACCCAAGTCAATTATCATGGAAATTTCGTCCAGCTCTATAGCGGGGAATAGCTCTCATCAGCATGCTTCAAATCGCCTCTAACCACTTGACAGTGATTCAGCTAACTAATTCACTGCATACTCCATATACTCATATGGTTTTTAATACACTTAAAATTTCGAAAATTTGTCACGTACTTAACATAACGCAATTGCTGTTTTACGTTGAACCCAACCGCTTTCACTTGCACTCTCCAGCGTTCTATCACTCTCTCTCGCTCTTTCTCTCTCCCTCTCTGCCTCTCTCCGTCTCTCTTCAGTTGAAGCTAACCAGTAAATTAGAAATCGTGCAAAAACTAAACAATATCACTTAGAACGACCCAATCCAAAAGCTTGGCTCATTTAACATACAGCCACAAGATGAGACCCCGTCACACACACACACACATACACACAGAGAGAGAGAGAGAGAGACAAGATAAACTCCAGTGGGCTAAGATATGTTAACGACTGCAATAAATAAACGGATAATATCTGGCTCGCTAGGCCTTTCCATAAATACACACATCCACGTCCACGTCCATTGGCCTCGGCCTCGGATTCGAGTTCGAGTTCGACTGCGTCTTGGGAAGATGCGTTCGCTAAGCGGGCCGAGAGCAGATTAAGTCATACGCACACGTATCTCCTCCAGGCGGAGCAATTGCCATTTCTTTGGCTGCTGGCAGCCACACTTAAAATTCATTAGCTGTATTAGCGGACTCTGCCTCTGCTTGGCTTATGCAAAGTAATTGACGCCCCGATGAACTGTTGACACGCTTCACATTTGTCTTGGCGTTTTGCTGCTTTCGGCCAATATTTGGTTTAGTTATCAGTGGCATTTTTTCTTTGCTCTGGGCTCTGGCTCTCTGGGCTTAAGTAGGTGAAAGCGAAAGCTGGGCACCCAGGCACAAAATGGCCAAATTCAATTATGCTGAAAGGTTTCGCCACACACATGTATGTATATGCCACATTTGCGAGCAGCCCTCGCCATTAGCGCTAATCTCTACACAAACGGGATATGAATCATGGCACACACAGTGTCTCTTCCTCTCTCTCTATCTCTCTCTCTCTCTCTCTCTCTCTCTCTGTTGTCGATTATATGCTGCATGCTGCATGACCGGCAAATGCATTCACTGTGCACAGTTCAGCAAGCAGCAACAATGTCAACGTATTCCACCTCAGCTGAGTCCTACTCCCCCCTCCCTCCCTCTATCACTGTCGGCTACCCTCCCCTCCGCGCATGTGTGCAAAAGGTGTAACTAATCCGCAGGCCATGTGACTTTTGTCATGCGCCGCGCCGCTGTCAGTCACTGGCGTTAACCTCCAGCTCCGACTCCTGCCAGCTCTCCTCCCTCTCTGGCCGCTACCTTGGCTCGTAAACCCTTTGCAAGTGCCAACGGTTTCCAGTCAATTCCACCCCAATGTCTGCTCACAATGCGAACCTGCCACCGCTCCTGCCTCCTGCCTCCTGCCTTCTCATCTTCTGGCTTCACCTTCAATCATCGATGTGGACCACCCGCTATTGTTGCCATTGCTGCTCGTGTGCTCCATGTAATCCATTGATTCGTCCAGAGCCCGAGTCGACGGGCGGCGCTGCGGGTGGCAACGCCGCTGACATTTTGCAGCTGGCTGACTTTTGTCCATGTTTGAGGTAAGTTTCGGCATTAAAGAAATTATTATGATTATGATTATGATTATTTTAATGCGCATTTACTTAGTTTTATTGCCGGTGCACTGGACTGTGCTGACAGTTTGACTTTTTGGCCACCTTTTGTGCTCTCAGAGCGACATAAATCAGCCATAAACAGGATCCCCATTGATGATATCGACTCAATAAATCAATTGCATATGACATCAGGTTCGATGTGCCCAACAAATACTGACCCATAC